GCCATCTGAGGTCCCGATTGGGCTTCCTAATATCCGCAGTCTGTCTGCTGCAATGGGAAGCTCGGAGGGAGAGAGGCGGGGTCTATGGCGGTTGCAGACCAAGCCTCACACTTCCCAAGGTTGTGCTCGAGGCCTATGTGGATCAGTGCGGCAGTGAGGTGGGTAAATGCCGCCGTGCACGCTTCTGCTTCGCCTAGCAGCGTTATGTCGTCTGCATAGGCGAGAATGACGACCCTTGGTGAGCTCGCGCCGTTGCGGTAAGGTGTGGGTGGATGCTTGCCGCAAAGAGCAAGGGGCCAAGAGGGTCCCCCGGGACGCCTCTAGCACTTAGCAGCGGAGCCACGCCGAAGTCATGATCGAGGTGGAGTGATGAGGGGGTTCTGTAGGAGAGGCGGACAGGGGGCATAAGGCTTTCAAGGGACTCGTTCTTGAGCCCCTCGAATACCGCCGCCCTTTCCACCGCGTTAAACGCGTTGGCGAGGTCAATCTACACAGCGCCACCGAGCCCGGGTTCTCCTCCAGGTATGTGCGCGCAGTGTGAATGGCCGCCTCAATCCCTCCGGCCACTGCTACCCCCGAACTGTAGAGGCGCGAAGTGTGATCGTGCCGCCCCCCAGTCAGGAACAGTGCTGCCTTGGGCCACTATGCGAAGGAGGCATTTGCCCACGTGCTATCGGTCGGGTCCCCCCCTGCGGTTTTGTGAAGGCCAAGAGCCGTGAGGCTGTGAGGAGCTCGGTGGCCTCGCTGCTGAGTTTCCCGGCTAAGCTGTATTGCTAAGTGCGGGAAATGGGCGAGGAGCTGGGGAGGACGTTGTCTGATTTCCGGTGCAGCATCGCGTATGTGCTCGAAGGTGTGCCTGAGGGCCTGCTCCCACTCCGTTTGGGAGTTTGGCTATAATGCGCTCTGAAGTCGCGTGGCTCTATCGAAGGGTTTTTCTCGGGGGAGAAGGTGCGTATCCATTCTGGTAAGGGCTGGAGTGCTCGCGGGTGTCGAGCTGCTAATGCCGCGTACACTTCGGTGGAGGCAGGTGAGACCGGAGTGGCTTGGAGGTGACTGTAGTGACTTGGCCAGGTTACCACGCTTGGCCAGTCCCTCCGCTCTGGCAAGGATGCCCTGAGTGTCAGGGTACGTGACGTGGCTGGGCTGGCATGGAAATTGCTTCAACTGCCTCGTCGTACAGGCCAGGCCAGAATCCCTGGCGGAAACAGAGGAGGCGATTCATCAATCGCGTTCTAGTCTGGTTTGCGAGCTGACGAGGTGCGTAGGAGGATTCCGCGGGGAGGAAAGTCAGTAACCTCCACCCCGCGGTCGAGTTGGGGTTGGCTGCCAGGTGGAGGAGTGGGGTGAGTAGGCAGACTGCGAATGATTCGCGAAGGTCCTTTTGGCGGGTGACGGGCGAGGGGGGGCTGGCGACTGTCGCGCAGTGGGTCCAGGTCCCAGCCTGCGACTTGCGCGAAAAGGTCCAGTCGTTTCGCCAAATCGCCTGGGTGGATCATTGGTGGGGTTGGGTTGGGGTTGGGGTGTTCCTATTGGCTGCGGCAGAGTCAAATGTGATTTCTGCCCGCGGTCCGATTCCCTCCAGGCCTGATTTCCCCCCACATTCCGATTCCTGGCAGGGGTTCGTGTTGCAGACGCGGCTCCAATTTGTGGTCCGGGAACTCAGCCCCACGAACCAAGAGCTCCTCATCATCTTCATCCGCTCAGCATCCAAACCTCCCTCCGTTTCGGGGTTAAAACCTGGGTCAACCCTCGTCACTCTCGTCATTCTCCGGTTCACCACTCCTCCTCCCTGCTATGCAGGGCTTCCTCGCCGCCTTCCGCGCCTTCCCTGAGTAGTCGTTCTGCTGTCCTCGCGTAGCCGCTCGCGCCTGTATGTCGGCCTCCTCTCCTCCCAGCTCCTCTTCCTCGGCGTCCTCTCCCGCCTACGTGTCGTCCGCCAGGCGTGCCACTCCTCGCGATTGGGCTGCGCACTACCGGCGTGCGGTTTTCGCCAATCTCCTCCTCTGCCAAAGCGGGCTCTGGCGTCCTCGGCTCACAGCCTCGGTCGTGATGGCGGGGTCCGTGGGTCGCGACCAGCAGCCTTGGAAAGCAACCGCGGAGAGCGCTCAGCTTGTTGCGCAGCCCACCCCGAGTATGCGCCTCCCAGTTCCCAAGTGCAGGCCCGTCCTGCTGCGTCGGCGCCCGTGCGCCATCCTTGAGCGCGGGTTGTCTCTTCCGCTGCGCGGGGCGGATCGACACGCGTCTCCTGAGCCATCCCGTGCTCCCCTAGTCGTCGCGTCGAATGCCTTGCCGGCGCGTCAGGAGCGGGGGCCTGTCTCCGCCGCCTCGTGGATATCGACCCGCGTCTCCTGCGCGTCGTGCCCCCCGAGCCGCATGATTCTCGGCGGCGATGGGACGAATATCACGGGAAATTCAGCATCTCTCTCTCTCTCTCACTCTCGCTCTCTCTTCATCTCTGCATCTCTCCTCTCTCTCTCTCTCCTCTCTATCATCTCCTCTCCTCTCATCTCTCTCTCTCTCTCTCTCTTCTCTCTCTCTCTCTCCTCACACCCGCACTATCTCTCTCCTTCCTCCCGCACTCTCACAATCCTTCCCACCACCCTCAGCCCTCCTTCCCCCCCCCCCTCTGCCATGTTCCCACCTGCCCTGCCCTCCCTATCCCTGCCTTTTCCCTGCCTTTCCCTCCCTGCCCTGCGCTTCCTTTCCCCATCCCTTCTCAACCCTTTCCTTCCTTTTCATGCCTTCCCCTTCCCCCTCACTACTCACCTACCACTCTCTAGTTCCCATGCATGTGGACCCATCACTGTCTCCCCGTACACGCTTTCATCATGTGCCATTGCTGTTGCCGTTGGTCCCTTGCACCTCACACCACCTCCCCCCATGTTCCTTCACACAATTCTTTCTGCCTTCTCCGTTCCCCTATTTTTCAGTGGTGAAGCAAAGGAGCAACAATTGCTAGCTGAGGCGCAGCCAGTCGATGCTTTACACCGTAACACCACCTGTTACGTGTCTGTTGTATGCGCACATCGTACTGTATTACTGTTGGAGATATGCATCCCAAAGGCACACTATGTGCGGTACTTTTGTTTCTACAGTGCAAGATATTATTCTAAGATGCATAGGCATGTACGCATGTTCTAATACTTTTGATTGTAGGCAAGGGTCAAGAGAAGCAATACATATACGATTGAACCTTTCTCAAGGCCCTGAAAAAACACAGGAACTGTAACTCTACGCGCATGGGATGGGGTGATGGGTTGAGGTGAGTTGAAGAACCAGAAAAATCTTCAGTGTACTGCAATAGCCAGGGGGAGGGAGAGAATACAAGGGATTGGGAGGGGGAACAAGAAAAAGTCAAATAGATAGAGATTAGAAGAGAGGAGATAGGGGAGACAGGGAAGAGGGTGAAGAGAAGAGAGAAGCAGGGGGGAAGGGAAAGGGGGAGATAAGACGATGGGAAAGGGGATAGGAAGAGGGGAGGAAAGGGGATAGGAAGAGGGGAGGAAAGGGGATAGGAAGAGGGGAGGAAAGGGAAGGAGGAGACAGGAAGAGAGTGAGAGGGAAAGAAGAAAAAGAGCATAGGGAAGAGGGAGGATAGGGAAGAGGGGAGATAGGGAAGAGGGGAGATAGGGAAGAGGGGAGATAGGGAAGAGGGGAGATAGGGAAGAGCGGGAGAGGGAAAGCGAGAGATAGGAAGTTGTAACAAGGGGAGGAAGAGGGGGAAACGAGGGGAACCAGGGAGGGAAACGAGGTGAAACAGAGGGGGAAATCCTGGGAAGCAAAGGGGGGAAATGAGGAGAAGCAGGGGGGGGGAATGAGGGGAAGCAGGTGAAAACAGGGAAAGCAGGGAGGGAAATGAGGTGAAGCAGGGAGGGAAATGAGGGGAAGCAAGGGGGGAAATGAGAGGAATCAAGGGGGGGAATCAGGGGAAGCAGGAGGGTACAAACATGGAAAGCAAGGAGAAAAATGGGGTGAAGCAGGGAGGGAAATGAGGGGAAGCAGGGGAGTAAATGAGGAGAAGCAGGGTGGAGGGGAAGCAGGAGGGATAATGAGGAAAGGCAAAACTGGAAATGAGGGGAAGGAGGGGGGGAAATGAGGGGAAGGAGGGGGGGGAATTAGGGGAAGCAAAGGGGGAAACAATGAGAGCAGACGGGGAAACGAGGGGAAGCAGCGGGGTAAATGAGGGGAACGAGGAGAAAGGGAAGCAAAGGGATGAATGAAGGGAAGTAGAGCAGGAAACGAGGGGAAGCAGGAGGGTAAAAATTAGGGAAATCAGGGGGGAAATAGGGGAAGCAGAGGGGAAAACGAGAGGAAGCAGGGGAGTAAATGAGGGGAAGCAGAGGGAAGAATGAGGGGAAGCAGGCGGAGAAATGAGGGGAAGAAGGGGAGGGGAAGGAGAGGGGGAAATCAGGGGAAGGGAATTAGGAGAAGCATAGGCAAAAATAAGGGGAATGTAACACGTGGGAATGAAAGTGCAGGGAAGCGAGGGCAAGGTATGGGCAGGTGGGAGAAGTGCAGCGGGATTGGAGGCTTGAGGAGGGGCAGCGCGACGAGGGTGCTGGCGCACTGATGGCAGGGGATGCGCGGCGAGGTGAGCGAGGCGCGGCGAGGCGAGCGGAGGCGCGGAGAGGCGAGCGGAGGCGCGGCGAGGCGAGCGGAGGCGCTGCGAGGCGAGCGGAGGCGCGGCGAGGCAATCGGAGGCGGGGCGAGGCTAGCGGAGGCACGACGAGGCTAGCGGAGGCGCGGCGAGGCTAGCGGAGACGCGGCGAGGCGATCGGAGGAGCGGCGCCGCGAGCAGAGGCGCTGCGAGGCGAGCGGAGGCGCGGCGAGGCGAGCGGAGGAGCGGCGAGGCTTGCGGAGGTGCGGCGAGGCTTGCGGAGGGTGCGGCGAGGCTAGCGGAGACGCGGCGGGGCGAGCGGCGGCGCGACTAACAGAGGCTCCCAGGAACTGAGGGTCGGCATGACGATGGGACAGGAGGCGCGGCGAGGTGAGGCGCGACGACGGGAGGCGAGGCAATGGGAAGCGCGACGAGGGGAAGAGCTCGATGAGGAAGGGGAGGCTAGACTTGTAGAGCGGCTATGTATTCTACTCTTTGATGCGCTGTCGATATGTTTTTTCCTCGTATATATTCCGTGGTTTCTCCTCATTTGGTTGGGTTGGTTTGTCGCACGCTCCAACTGATGTTGAGTGACAACTACACAATCTCCTCGTTGCTCATTTCGCTTTTGCCACGCCCATCTTCCCTAAGTGAACCTTTTTCCATTTCGCCAACACACTCAAAGCCCTTCAGTAGTTTTGGCAAAAACCATGCTGACCTCGGGCTTTAAGCCGTCACTCTCTGGCATCTTTGCTGTCCAGACAGCCAAAACTGAAGATTGGTGGGCTTTGACTTTGCCCGCAATGAGTTTTAAAATTTCAACTTCGATCCGTCCATTAGAAGGCCCTGTTCGACAGGCTAACACTTAGCAAAAGGCGAGTGTTAGACTAGTGTTAAGGGGAGGGTTCAACGCAACTTCCCTGAGCTGGTCGACTGCCCATCACAATTGGAAGCCTCGCCTTTGGAGATCGGAAGGACAGTGGCCCACAAGGCGAAGCTACTCGCCCCCTTCAATTTGGGTCATCGCGGGCTGTGTCGAAAATTTTGGGCCACTTGCGAAAGGGGTCTGGGTAACAACGCTGGAAACAAATAGGCCATCCCCACAAATCGATAAGGGAGGTTTTCGAATGGGAGGTTCACTTGGGTTTTTTTTGGGTCCACAGAGTGGTTGTCCCTCCCTTTGCAAACACTTGACGAGCCCTTTGACCCCACTTTTGGGGGGCGAGGGTTAGGCTAGGTGAGGGCTAAACCTTTGCCCGTGCGGGAAGGCTCGCGGTTCTTTCTAGGAGGGTGAAGGGGTCAATTATCGGGTGCGTTCGACATGCTAACACTCTGCAAACAGGTTAGCGGGGGCTAAATCCCCATTTGCCTATTTTACGGGCTAACCGTGGGAAAAACTGTGAAAAGGAAAGAGCTGCGAGGATTCCGCGGCCGTCGGTGTTAGCCTGTCGAACAGGGCCAAATTAGTGTCTGGTCGAACCCTGCACCGTTGAATTCTCCACTTGGAGCCATCTACGGCTCAGTTGTCGGGTGACATAGAGGAAAAGGAAACTGGCCAGAAAAAAGGGCCAAAGTGTCAAAATTAGAAGAGAGAAGAGAGTTGAACTAGCAGGAATGAGGATACAAATAGCAAAACCCTAGAAGGGTTGTACTCGCTATAGAGCACCCCACTACAGGCTAGAGCATAAGATAATATTCTGACACACCCCCATAGCCAAAGTGGGGTGTAATCAGCAGAGCAAGCAAAGTAGTACAAGCTCAGGGTGGATCACAATGTCACCACACATTCTGAGCACAAGTTCAAGAAGAAATAGTTTAGAGTTCACAATTATGAGCAAAGCTAGTGGTGGTCACAACGGGCAAGCGAGGAGGAGGAGAGAGTGAGGGGAGAGGAGATAGGAGGCGACGGCTGAAGCTGCAGACACACGGGCAACAGGAGGCAGACTGGCACAGCGGCTACCGGGCGAAGCCCCCGGAATACAGGAGTAACAGGCCCCGCGGCTCAAGTAGCGGCAGACGGGCAACGGACCCACGGGCGGCTGGCACAGCTGGCTACGACTGGGCTACCGGACGAAGTCCCCGGACTACAGGTGCTGCTGGCGACACGACGGCAACCTCCGTGCAACTTCCCCAAACAGTCCCACCCCCCCGACACACACCCGCTGCTACACTGCTAGCTCCACTCTCACGCACCCCCCTTAAACCCTAAACCCCAGTCTCCCACACATCCACCCCCCTCAGCGACAGCTGCAGCAGTGGGAGACGAAGGAGGAGGAGGAGCAAAGGGAGGAATGCACAACTGCCACCCCCATACCTGCCACCCCCTTCTCGCCACCCCCCCGAAGGAGCCGCGACGGGCGACGGTAAATGGGGGGGGGGGGGGGGGGAGGAGAGGGGGGGGGGGGTGCACGTGCCGTAGGTAGGGCGACAGGGTCGGGCCTGTAGGGCGGCGGGACGACGGGGCCGCAGGTAGGGCGGCGGGGCCGGGGCCAGGGCCGCAGGTAGGGTCGCCCGAGCCGCGCGCAGGCGGTCCGAGCCGCGCGCGGGCCTGGCGCCGCCCGTACGGGCCGCGCGCTGCCTGTACGGGCCGCGCGTAGGCCACGACGGGCGATGGGAGGTGACGACCGGGTCCCCGTCGCCCGTCGCGGCGCCTCCCGAGGGCGACGCGCCGGTCGACGGGGCCGAAGCCCGCCGCGCGCCTCGGGGCGCACAGCGGGCAGAGAACCGCCGCGCGCCTCGGGGCGCACGGCGGGCAGAAAAACCGCCGCGCGCCTCGGGGTGCACGGCGGGAGGAAAAATGCCGCACGCCACGGGGCGTGCGGCTCAGAGGGTAGTTGCAGTAGTAGCAGCGGAAGCGAGAAGGTGGTAAGCCCACCCACAGGATCGATCCAAAGGGATCGACCTGCTCTGATAGCATGTCAAAATTAGAAGAGAGAAGAGAGTTGAACTAGCAGGAATGAGGATACAAATAGCAAAACCCTAGAAGGGTTGTACTCGCTGTAGAGCACCCCACTACAGGCTAGAGCATAAGATAATATTCTGACACAAAGGTTCTTATCTGAGAAGTTTCAAACAAGATTATGGCGCTTGATTTCCGAATTCAGCGTCGTGCAGTCCCCACGTGTATTTTCCTCCTTGCCACGGCTCTCATTTCCAGCGACCAATTCACACAACGTTCCAACGCCGTCGCGGAATTTGCAGATGTTGGCGGCAGCGGCGCTGCCGCCATTTCACTTCCAGAATCGCTCTCCTCCTACTCCAACGTGGTGTTGCTAGATCCGCGCTTCGAGCTCTTTTGGACCGTCAGCGACAGCGACGCGACCATCCAATTGGCGGTTCGAGCTAACACAATGGGATGGCTTGCTATAGGAATCTCCTAGATAAGCTCCATGGCAGGCTCAGGTGCGGGATTCATACGGTCGGGTCGGGTGCGATTCCTGCTCATTCCAGGCGGACTTTGATAGAGTCACTTCCATCCCTAAAATGTGCTGACCCAGAGGTCACCCTTGTTACAATCCCAAATGGGACTTAGCGAAGGATCGCTCAGGGTTGATCGTAGAGTGGTGTTGCAGCGGAAGTAGTGAACTCAGGTCAGAGTTAATGCAAATGACTGAGATTGACGAAAGCATGCATACATCGTGTTTATATAAGAATACAAGGGAATACGAAAAGACCTAGACTAGCCATGTACTCTAAGGGATACATTCTTTTATTGGAGTGAGTTCAAAAACCGTGCGGCGCGGGAACCTGTTTCAAACCCGTTCCCGCTCTTTTCATTTCAAATGTTTCTACCAGCATTGGTCTTGGTCACACAATTTCTGCGTCGCTTCGACTCTTCTGACTCCCCGACTTTATACTCGGTAGAGTCGGCTTCTGTAGCATACAGGAATGCCTTCTCATACAACTTCATATCGTAACACCCCCCTTCATTCCTGGACGCGGGAGGAGCTGACTCGCTTGACTACTCTGGTGAGATCCGAGCAGTGCTTGTAGTGCTGTCATGGCAGTCGTTTGGTGAGGAAGTCTACTGCCATCTCGGTGGCTGGGCTGCACGCGAGGTCAATTTTCCCCTGGTCAATTTCGTCCTTGACGAAAAAGTACCGAAGCGCGATGTGCTTTGTGCGGTTCACGAAACCTGGCTTGTTCACGATTCTGATGGCACTCTGGTTGTCGCAGTGAAGGCGAAAGGTGGGCGAAGTTGGAATTTTTGCCTCCTGTAGCAGCTCCTACAGGTACAGGCCTTCGCGAACTGCTGCTGTCGCAGCGATGTATTCTGCTTCAGCCGATGATAGGGCAACCAGCTCTTGTTTCTTTGAGTTCCAGGAGATTGGCCCAACTGGTTCTAGGCGGAAGACGAAGCCGGTTCGGGACCGTCGATTCACAGGATCAGCTGCAAGGTCTGCGTCCACGTAGCCGTTGAGGTTGAAGGAGGTTGTCGTCAGCGTGGAGTACGAGAGCCAGATGTCAGGTGTGGAGATGAAGTATTGTAGGGCGCTCTCCAGGTCCAGTTGGTTCTCAGCTACTGGTTTGCGTGAATACTGTGCCCATTGGCTGGCAATGAAGGAAAGGTCGAGTCGCCAGGTGACAGATGCGGACAGTAGGCAACCCAGTTGCTGCTGGTAGAGTTGAAGTGCCGTAGGGGACAGTGGTTTGTTGTCCGATTTGTAGCTGGTTCTGGGGTTGCAAGGATCATGACTCCTAGAAGTAACAAATTGCATGATGGGCCCTGTTCATTTGCCACTGCTAGAAAATATAATTCTCACACTACTAAATATTTTGTTGTGGGTCCTTACAGGCTCTTTGTTTTCTTGTCCTAAACAAAATGGAGGTCATGTTCATATAAATTTCATCCCTTTTCTATGGTTTCAGTTTGTTTCCTCTCTTTGTCTATTCCCCCCCTCCCCACCCTCCCCCCCCCAAACCCCCCCTCCTCCTCCTCCTCCTCCTCCTCCTCCTCTCTCTCTCTCTCTCTCTCTCTCTCTCTCTCTCTCTCTCTCTCTCTCTCTCTCTCTCCCTCCCTCTCCGAGAGGTTGTCCCTCTCTCTCTCTCTCCCGCTCCCTCCATCTCTTCCTCTCTCCCTCGCTCTCCCTCTCTATCCCCCTCTTTTCCGGGACATCAATCCAAAATCTCAATCCATACGTGCTAGTGGCGTGGGTGGCGGAGAACGAGGGTCGTTTGTACGCCACGGATTGATTCATCACGAAAGATGATCTCTCTTTCTCTCTCAAGCAGTCATGTATTGACATGGTTCGCAAGGTACAAGCAAGGAGCTACCACTTGGTCTAAACGTGCAAGCAATCGTGAGTCCAACATAGCGAGACCAGCAAGCTAGGCAAACGAACAACTAGCAAAACACAGAGAACCAGCTCTCCAGATGTTGAAACAGGCCACCACACACTAGGACGAACGAGCCAGCCAGTACCAAGGCCACCAAACCCTGTCCCTACAGTCCTCCTGCTTCTGGACTCCCCCTACTGATCCTGCCTCTCTGTCCACAGTCCCTTTCCCCATACGCAGCTTCCTGCCGTCGTCCGGCTAAACCTCCCCCACTCCCACTCCCTCCCCGCCCTCTAAGCCGTTCTGGCAGGGGCTTGACGCTCCTCGTACTCATCCTCTCTCTCTCTCTCTCTCTCTCTCTCTCTCTCTCTCTCTCTCTCTCTCTCTCTCTCTCTCTCTCTCTCTCTCTCTCTCTCTCTCTCTCTCTCTCTCTCTCTCTCTCTCTCTCTCAAGCAGTCATGTATTGATATGGGTCACAAGGTACAGGAATGGCAAATGGTGGTGACTAGCTTGTCTAAAACATGGAAGCAACCAGGAAGCTAGAAAAAACAAGCAAACTGAGCAAGCCCATCCAGCCAAAGCACAAAGGTCATCTAGCTCTCAGAGCAGCCCGGTCCACAGCAGTAGAAGTCCCCGAGAACTCCATATTCCACCTATCCCTTGTTCCTCCCCTATCATAAGACCTCCCCTTATCCTTCCTCACCCCGCAGCTTCTTCGCACCTTCCCTGAGACACCCACCAATTCCCTGTCCCCCCTAAAGCCTCCCAAACTATGTATTCCTTTCCTCACTCTCACCACGCCCCTGTATTCCTCCCCTGCTGCCACCCAACCCCCCCGTGTCACCAAGTTCCCTTCTCCCCAGCCCCTCAAGCCGCTCTAGCTGGAGCCTGGCGCTCCTCATACTCATCCACCTGCACCTGCCAAAGGTCTCCCAGCCGGGGCGCCCAAGGGTCCGCTGCAGCCTGAGGGAATGCCGTTTCCGCTGCTCGGTTGGACTTGGAGAGGATGGAGATCGCGTGGCTGCGCTGGAGCACCACGGACCACCGTTGCCTGAAGTGTGCATTGAGTCGGGCAGCGGTCGTCGTGAGGCGTCCCTTCCTGTATTTTGTCTTGGCGGCATGGGTGGCTAGCAAACGGATGAACTGCTGTGTGTCCTTAGCCAGAGCCCCATACGCCTCTCTCTCTCTCTCTCTCTCTCTCTCTCTCTCTCTCTCTCTCTCTCTCTCTCTCTCTCTCTCTCTCTCTCTCTCTCTCTCTCGAATGGCCCGTGTATTAGCTGAAGGGTGGTACAAAGGTTTGAAGCAGACACATGCAAACTAGGCAAACAAGCAGACCTATCAACCATCACCTACTCCCCTCCCCTCCCCCCGCTGTCCGACCCTAGTGGTCGGACCTGGGCTCGATCTCTCTCTCTCTCTCTCTCTCTCTCTCTCTCTCTCTCTCTCTCTCTCTCTCTCTCTCTCTCTCTCTCTCTCTCTCTCTCTCTCTCTCTCTCTCTCTCTCTCTCTTCTTTCTTTCGCAAAACTTGCTCATTGTGTCAATCCAATTTTTTTGTCCCGACGTGCTCGTGGCGTGGGTAGCGAAAAAAGAGGGCCGCGCGTATGCAACGGACTGCTTCACCTTCAACACCAGCACCAAACCCACACTAGACGACAAGCAGGACTGGCACGTGCTGGGCGGCAGTCAAACCACGAACCTGTTAACAGGAGTGGAGTGTTGGCCCCGCCCTCACTTGGGCAATGCCGACGACTTGGTCGGGTGTACGGGAGTAGCACCCGACCATTCACAGTGGGAGAGCTGCTCGACAGGCTTCGTCGAGCTCCCGGGAACCGCCGTGGTGTTGCTGTCAACCAGGCAGCTCGACAGCTGCAACTGACTGTTCTGGGCGACGGGTGGGCCGTCGACCAGGAGGGGCAGCTCGACCGGGAGGTCGACGGAGCAATCTGTTGACCTGCAGCTTGACCGGGAGGTCTCCGTCGGCCTGCAGCTCAACCGGGAGGTCCCCGTCAACCTCCAGCTCGACCGGGAGGTCTCCATCGACCTACAACTCGACTGTGAGGTCTCCGTCGACCTGGATTTCGACTGGGAGGTCGATGGAGCAGTCCGTCGACCTGACAAGTGAGCAGCGGTCGACGAGGGGAGCTCGGCGACAACCGCTGACTATTCTGGTCGACGGAAGGGGTTTGTCGACCAGGGGGGTAGCTCGACAGGAGCTGTGGTCGACCAGGGGCACCTGGTGGTCGACCAGAGGGATCTGGTGGTCGACCGGAGGCACCTGGGGGTCGACTAGAGCACATGGGGGTCGACCAGGTCGACCGGGTAACCTGTTCGACGAGTTCTACGGAGGCACGCGAACGTCGTGAAGGTCGCAATGGCGCAGGCGACTTCAGGCTGGTATCCCGATGTCGATGTGGCTCGTCAGGCGCAAACAACAGCCCACGGATGCCCAACGAGGCAAATCGGGCCAATCGTCTGCGCGCACTTGCTAGTGTGCGCACTGCTATGTTCTACGGGGCAACGCTGGACAGCCACTCTGTTGCACCGTTGGTACGCCGTCGACTTGCTCTGTTGGCAGGTCGCCCTTCTGCAGTGCTGGCGCGGCTCCTCTACGCAACGCTGGTAGGCGGTCGACCGAGCTATGCTGGCGGTCGACCAGGCTAGCTGCAGGGTTGCTTGGTGCTTGATGTAGTCATTCTGTCATTGCTTGTTCAATCATCCTGTAATTTCGACTTTTCCTAGTGGAAACTCTTTCCAATTTCTCCCGTTTATGCATAAGCACTAACGAACTAAGCAAAGCTATGATCACTCCTAGTAGTTCGTGCCAACCCCGTAATCTAGCTCACTATCGTTGTAGAGTGACTCTCCGCAGAACCAATCCACGGGCGACACGTGGACCACCGTAAATGTGTGGTGCAACCTTGACACAGGCAACTGCAACGACCGCCCAATAGTTTTTGGGAAGCTTCACAACATTATCTGGGCGACTGGCCCCACGGATGTCATCAGCTATCATGGCTCCACGCAGGGGGGTACCACTCTTGTTCTTGCTCCTACCTCCGGCCCCTCAATTCTCAGACCCTCAGAACCGCCCTCAACTTCTTCTGCGCTTGCTGTGTATAGATCTATTCGAGGGTCCGTGCGTTTGGCCGTAAAGAAGCAAGCAGTGGGGAAGGAGGAGGCTAAGGCGCGCGTTCTTACATTCAATGTGAAGGATTATCCTGTGCCCACTGACAGCTCCTCCTACCGCTGCATGGTACGGTACACGTTTTTGAGAATGCTCGAAGGCGATCCCTCTCTAGTGGATCAAGCGTGCATATTTTCACTTTCACGGTCTATCCCGTGCCCACTGACAGCTCCTCCTATTGCTCCATGGTACAGCACGACCGGGAAACATTCATGCTGCTGTGCTAGTGTTTGTAGCTGCTGCGCGTGTGTATGTCTGAGAAACCTTCGACACAGGCCACATGCTCGTGTCGAATGCGTGGCGCTGTGGTCATTATTGGCGCCACCCATTCATGTGTAGTGCACATATATGGGCGGCAATGTCCCTTCAACAAGCGCAGCCCATTCACATGTTCTCTTGAGACGCTTGCTCCTCACATGCTCCTTGTGTCACACGGCATGTGATAGACGCCCCTTTGGAGAGCAAGCAGCACGCGGTGGAGAGGGGGCCGGTAATCGATGCAACTCAAGATGTCACAAGCATTGCTCATCGTGAGTCTCCACGCACACACGCACGTGTCTTTCACCTGATCTCACCTCCTCACTCACCTCTTCCCACCTCTCCTCACCTACTCTCACCTCTTCTCACTTCCTCTCACACCTTCCTACCTCCTCTTAGTGTCTAACATTATATATGTTGTTGTAGTTGTTTAGGCTACAGTGGGTTAGCCTATAGGGGGTACACATTCCTAGGTTTTCATACTTGTACTCATTTCACTGTTAGTTCATTCTTTCTTGTTCAACATGGTATAGAGCAGGTCCTTCCTAGGACCGATTTTTTTAGGGCCCACCACTACCTACCTACCTACCTACCTACCTACCTGCGCCCTAGGGCGCCTCGGCTTTCATGCCCCTAGAGGCCCCGTCGGCCCCGCGCTCTCGCACCTAGAGACCTCGGTCGGCCCCGCGCTCGCTTTTAGAGGCCCCAAATCGGCCCCGCGCTTACCCCTAGAGGCCCGCGTCGGCCCCGCGCTCGTCCTTAACGGCCCCGAATCGGCCCCGCGCTTACCCCTAGAGGCCTGCGTTGGCCCCGCACTCGTCCCTTCCGGCCCCGATCGGCCCCGCGCTCGTCCCTCACGGCCCCGATAGGCCCCGCGCTTGCCCTTAGAGGCCCACGTCGGCCCCGCGCTCGTCCCTTACGGCCCCGATCGGCCCCGCGCTCGTCCCTCACGGCCCCACCCGCTCCCCGCGCTCGCCCTTAGCGGCCCCGAACGGCCCCACCCAGACCGAGCAGCCCGAACCGAGCCGACCCGAGCCGCCCAGCCCTAACGGAGCCGAGCCGCCCGACCCGAGCCACCAGCCCTAACCGACCCGAGCCGCCGAACCGAGCCGCCCGAACTGAGCCGCCCGAACCAAGCCGCGCCGCCCGACCCGAGCCGCGCCGCCCTATCTATACCGAGCCGCGCCGCCCTACCTGTACCGAGCCGCGCCGCCCTACCTACCCTACTGCTCCTACTGCTTTTCCTACTGCTGCTACCATGGCTAGCCCTTCTGTGCTAGCCTTCAATGCTGAGGGCCGCCCAGTGAAGTTCGACACCTGGCTTGATGACCTACACCTCTTCCTACAGCTCACTGCCAAGGAAGACATCTCCCTGTACGATCATGCCTTAGGCCACGCTACTGCTCCTGCTGCTACTGCTGACAGCACTGCCCGCTCACAGTGGCAGACTCGTGACGCCCATGCTCGCTTCGCTATTCGCAACTCTCTGCCGATAGATGAGCGCGAGCACTTTGGGCAGCACAAGACTGCACAGGCACTGTACACTGCTGTCGTTGCCCGCTACTCTTCACCGGCCTCTGCCGCTCTAGGCCGTCTCTCTCTTCCCTACCTGTTCCCCGACTTAGCTTCCTTCCATACTGTTGCTGATCTCATTACCCACCTCCGCACTAGTGAGGCTCGCTTCCGCGCCGCTATGCCTGATGAGTTCCTTGCCAAGAACCCACCCCCGCTCTGGCTCACTCTCAACCACCTAGTCACGCGCCTCCCTGACACTCTGCGCTCAGTTAGGGA